ATCGCTTCTTCCTCCTCCTCCCCATCGCTTCTTCCTCCTCCTCCCCATTGCTTCTTCCTCCCCCTCCCCATCGCTTCTTCATCTTCCTCCCCATCGGTTCTTCCTCCTCCTTCCCATCGCTTCTTCTTCCTCCTCCCTATCGCTTCTTCCTCCTCCTCCCCATCGCTTCTTCTTCCTCCTCCCCATCGCTTCTTCCTCCTCCTCCTCCCGATCTTTCTCTTTGTCCTCCTCCTCCCGATCTTTATCTTCCACCTCCTCCTCCCGATCTCCCTCTTCCCCCGTTTCCCATCGCTTCTTCCTTCTTCTCCTCCCGATCGTCCTCTTCGTCCTCCTCGTACCGATCTTTATCTTCCACCTCCTCCTCCTATTCCCCGACGCTTCTTCCTCCTCCTCCCCGTCGCTTCTTCCTCCTCCTCCCCATCTCTTCTTCCTCCTCCTCCCCATCACTTCTTCCTCCTCCTCCTCCCGATCTTTCTCTACGTCCTCCTCCTCCCGATCTTTATCTTTCACCTCCTCCTCCCAATCTCCCTCTTCCTCCGTTTCCCATTGCTTTTCCCTCCTCCTCCTCCCGATCATCCTCTTTGTCCTCCTCCTCCTGATCTTCATCTTCCACCTCCTCATCCTCCCCATCGTTTCTTCCTCCGCCTCCTCGTTGCTTCTTCCTCCTCCTCCCGATCGCTTCTTCCTCCTTCTTCCCATCGCTTCTTCCTCCTCCTCCCCATCGCTTCTTCCTCCTCCCCTGGCTTCTTCCAGCTCCTCTCCATTGCTTGTTCTTCCACATCCTCCTCCCGATCGCCCTCTTCTTCCGTTTCTCATCGCTTCTTCCTCCTCGTTCTCCCGATCGTCCTCTTCATGCTCCTCCTCCCATTCTTCTTCTTCCACCTCCTCCTCCCGATCTCCCTCTTCCTCCCTTTCCCATCGCTTCTTCCTCCTCCTCCCCATCGCCTTCTTCCTCCTCTTCCTCCCGATCACTAATTTCAGCCTCCTCCCCATCGCCGACTTGCTCCTCCTCCCATGTCACGTCAACTTTTTTTTTTTTTCTTGTGGTTGCTGAGGAGGAGGAGGAGGAGGAGGAGGAAGAGGATGATGGGGAGGAAGAGGAAGAGGGCGGTGGGGATGAAAAGGAGGGTGACATGGCAGGGGAGTTAAGGAAGAGGATGACAACGAGAATCTGAAAGGAGGAGAGGAGGAAGAGGAAGATCGGGAGGAGGAGGAGGAAGAGGACGATGGGGCGGGGGAGGTCGAGGAGGCCATTGGGGACGAGGGGGGGGGGGGGGAGAAGTACGAGAGGGAGGAGAATGATGAGGACGAAGAGGACGATCGGGAGGAGGAGGACAAGGGTGTCGGGGTTACCGAGG